GGCATTTTTTAATACTATGGACTGGTGGGGCATTTGCCCCACTGGGCCCCTTCCTCTGCCCCACCACTGAAGAAAAAAATGACCTATTGCCCCAAAGCCAGGGCCCTATGACCAGTATTGAGTAAGTGAGTTTAAATTAACATTGAAAAGAAGTTTAAGTTTGTTGGTGAGCATACTTAAGCCCCGTTTACACTACGCTCAATTTTTGGTACGGCACGGATAAAAATGGTACCCGTACCACTTTTTTGGTTCGTACGGTACTAAAAATTGAGCGTGGTGTAAACGGGGCTTTAAACTTTTGTTGTGTTTAGATGTTTAGCATGCAATTTATTACAAATTTTACCATTAAAACTTTGTTTTGAGAAACTGAGATATTTTTAAAAACGTGTTCTCAGAATGCAGGAAATGCTATTTCAGAGACCCAAATTTAAAAAATTTCCTGGGGACATGCCCCAGACACCCCTAGCTAACTCGAGCCTGCGGTTCTCGGCTCACACCTTCGGCGATCGCAAACTATCCTGGGGGGAGAACAAGGAAAATGGGCCCTTTGGCAGTTTTGCGCCACCACTGAAGAATCCTTAAAAAATGCACTGCTTTGGGCTATGTCTCTGGGCGGAGAAATAATTCCTTATACATGCGATAAAAACGTTTATGTTTTCATATGAGTGATGAGCTTGAAGAGCTTTCTACGTGTGAGCCTAATGTTACTACTAACAGCTGGCTCACTCATTTTGAATCTCTGCATGCGAAACATACGATGCTAGGCACTGAACAACAACACACATTAAATCAATTAGAAAAACTAGAAGAGGAGATTGCAAACAAATTTCTCGATGAAGCAATCTCAGAAAACGAAATCATTAATGCTGCAAGGAAATTAAAAAACAACAAATCCGCTTACTCTGATAAGATAAGAAATGAAATGCTTAAATCCAGTGCGAAAATACTGCTCAAAGGATACCAAAAACTCTTTAACCTAATTCTAGAAAGCGGAAAATTTCCAGACCAATGGCGTGACGTGTGAAGGACTGATCACGCCAATTTTTAAATCTGGGGCCGGTTGTATAAAAAAGTGATTAAAGTTAACTATAGTTAGTGGAAACGTCATCCAATAAGAAGCGCGTATTTGAGAGTTAATTATAAGTAATAGCATGGCTTGAGGGAGATTAGTGATTAAATGGCCCCGTAACCCGAGGCAGGTTTGCGGAATTCCCGAGGGCGAAGC